TGTGGGGGGGGTTGGGGGGCGTGGGAGGAGAGACGTGAGGGGAAAGATGTAGGGGGGGATGTGCGGGGGGAGAGATGTAGGGGGGGAGGGACGAGTGGGGGGGCCGTTACTTGGTCACAGCAGCACAGTGGCTGAGAGTGACCGAGGCCCCAGTGGTTCAGCTCTTCCCAAAGGCCACACACAGGTGGCCCGAGTGGCCCGGGGGGCGTGGGGGCCGCTTCCCCTAATCTACAGAACCCACGCGGAGCCGCTGTCCTGTTGTGTAAAAGGCACTTCAGGTAAGCAGCCCTGCTCCCTAGAGAAATTCAATATTCCTCAATACTCTTTCCCCCTGACGGTCAAATGTCGCGAATGGAATTCAGACTGCCCCCTCTCTGCCTGAGGACAGGGGTCCTGTCCACTGTCCCCACGGGAGATTCTGCTGTCACAGGAGCGCGTCCTGGCCTCCTCCCCCTGTCTCCCAGGCTCCGGGAAGCGAAGGGGACACACCCAGAGGACCCTGTCAGGGGCCAACCCAAGGCCGGGGAGAACAGCTGGGCGCTCGGGGCTCTGTCCTCTGTCGTGGGGACCACCGCAGGCCCAGGGCGGGGCCACACCCATGGGAGCTCAGGGAGCAGGTCCTGTGGCTCCTGGGGGAGCCTCGAGCAGAGCAGGGGACAGTCACACGGAAGGGGCTGACAGTCCAAGCTGGGCCCTCCCCAGCCTGTGGAGCCTCACCTCCCCGGGGGCCGGGCGGCAGAAAAGCAAGGACTCCTCCCCCAGCAGATGAGCTGAGGCCCTTCGACCACTTTCTTAGAGGTGAGGGGAAGTCACAGCCAAGAATCCTCCCCAGTGGATTTTGTTGGCTGCCTGGGTCCTCGGGGACCCCACTCCTCCTTTGTGGCACTGAGTTCACCCAGGAGGGTGCACAGAGAGCACCCGGCAGGTCTGGGACCCGGGCTCAGGTCTGCAGGATGCGGCCCCAGGACGGAGGGCGTGGCGGGGGGGGGGGCAGGCGGCAGCGTGTGGCTGCTGCCTGGTTTATGGACCCCCACCCCGGCCCACCCGCCCACTGCTGGGTGCAGGCGCCTTGCTGTCCTGCCCTAAAGCCAGCCACAGACCGTCAGGCCACTCCTGACACCCGTGCTCCATGACCGGGATGCCCACGGCACCTCCCCCCCGACCCCTGGGAGGCGAGGCCCGGGGTCTGGGTCCCTCTGGCTGTGTGCTCCGCCTGGAGGGGGGACGGCACTGGGTGGGACCAGCCCTCCTGGGTCCTGCACTTGGTCCCGTGCTGCCCAGGTCACCCCCATCTCTCACGCTGCAGAAGGGACGGTGGCCACGCCTAGCCACCACACACAAGTGGGGAGCCCCTGCTGTCCAGCAACCCAGGGTAGACGCGGCCGCCTGCCTGCCTCCTGCTCAGCCCGACGCGGGGCCGGGGTGGATGTGCGGGGAGGCTGCTGGTCCCCCCAGGGCTCCCGCTCTTCCCAGACTGCCCTGCAGCAGGTACAGGGTGGGGACACCAGCAGGCAGCTGGGAGGCTGCTTCCCCAGAGGCCCAGCCACACGTCGGCCAGCACCAGGCCCCCCGCCCCCGCTCCCAGGGGCTTGCTCCTGGGGACGCTCATTCCCGCCTCCTCCCCCAGAGCCCGGATGCTGTCAGAGCGTGCAGTGTGTGAGGGACAGCGTCCCATCTCCTCTGCAAACACCAACCAAAGCCCGGTTGCTAACGCCTGACGCTCCTCAGCACTCACAGCTTTGAGGGACGCTAAGCGGGTATTAAGGGAAGTCTAGAAACCACTTCAAAATCTTCCACTCGGCCTGGACACGTGTGCTGTCACCCCCGACTGTGAGCACTTATTCACATGATAGTTCAGAGTTGTCTCCCCTCCAGGGGCTCGAGGGACAGCTCACAGGGCTCGTGACCACGCAGGGGGCTCTCCAGGCTGTGGCAGCCACTTCCGAGGCCCCAAAGGGACCACTTCCTCTCTAGAGGGGCCAGAGTTCTGGGAGAACCCCCCCACCCCAACTCCTCCTTCTTGGGAACCAGGCTCTGATGTGGGACAGGGACAGACGGGGTGTCTGGAGTCGGGGAGCACTGCCAGCCCCGAGCAGAGACGCCGCCCCGGGACTGCGCCCCCCCCCGGGGGGCCCACGTGCCTTGGAAGCTGCTGGAAGCCACAGCCCTGGGGGAAGGTGCCGTCCCAGCCACACAACACTGCAACCATCACGGTGTGGACCCTGAAGGCCTTTGGGAAAAGCCCCGGGGGGCCGTGGACGAGACTGTGGAAGGGGAGCAGGAGGGACTCGGGTGCCAGGCGGCCGGGAAGGAGGGCCTGCGCCCCGCACCTCCCCGCTGGTGGTTCCTGTTTCTGTCTGCAGAACACGTGTCCTCTCGGAGGACACAGAACCTCCCGTTTAGCTGGCAATCTGCTTGGACAGGGAAAACGGGAGAGAGGGGCTCCCCTGGGGACCGGGCCAACTCTGGGAATCCTTAGACTCACGGAGGCCAGGGCCGTGGGGGCGCTGTGACGGGCTGGGTACGACCAGCCGGGGCCCAAGGAGGGGACGGGGTGGGTGGGGTGCGGCTCTCTTTACACAGTCAACAGGGTTGACTGAATTTTAAACATTCATTTAAAAATTAAGTTAATGAAAAGAGAGCCATTACTCCTTCGCTAAGCAGGTGGGTAAACTGAGTCGCACGTGGGGGTGCACAGGAGTGTGTCTGCTCTCGCTGGCAGCCCTCCGTCCAGCATCAGGCCCGCGGCCCCTGGTGTCTGCTCACGAGAAAGCAGGGATGCCGGTGGTCGAGAGAGATCCTTTCCACTCTGCCCGGGAGGGGCCCACTGAAACCCTCGTCTCTCGCGATTGTCTGATCGGGTCAGCCAAGCAGCCCCCTGCAGGCCCCTCACTGGCTTGTCCCCACACACTGGCCCCTGGCAGGTGTGCGTTCTCTCCTCCAATCCTCCGACAGCCCTGTTGGCAGGTCAGGGCACAGGCCCGAGGGGGCATCTCGGGCCCAAGTCACATGGGTGGTCCTCGGCAGGGCTGGGGTGGGCCTGGGTCCCCAAATCCCAGCTGGCCTATGTCCACCTGTTTGTCACTCCACCCCCAGGAGACCACCGATGCCCCCGGCAACTTTGCATAGTGCAACCTCAGGCAGACCCCAACCTGCTCCCGCTCGCCCCGGCCAGCCCATGCTGGGGACTGGGCGGTCACCGCGCCAGCCCGCCAGGGACACCCCAGTCTCCCTAGGGCCAGAACCCCAAACGGGCCCTGTCGCTCTCTCCTGTCACTCTCCCTGTGGCTCCACGGCCTCCAGGGTTAGATGCAGATCCCAGGGCCGCCTCGGCGAGCTCACCACTTACCCGTCACAACCCGACCACCCGACTGGTCTTAGGGGATGAGCATTCGCTCGTGAGTCGTTCTTACGTCCCAGAGCAGGGACGACACAGATGCGGGCCCTAAAGGACCAAGGTGCACGGACACGCACGTGCCCCCGCAGGGAGCCCCTCGGAGCAGCCCGGTGCGTTGCATTCCCTCTTAACTTCGGCGTGCCTGCTCCGTTCTGGGCTGAGCTGTGTCCCCCTGGACTCCTACGGCGAGGCCCTAACCCCAGGGCTGCAGAACACGGCTTTATTTAGAAATAGTGTCACTGCAGACATCACGAGTTCAGAAGAGGTCATCGTGGCCCTGATCCAGTGTGACCAGTGCCCTTATCAAAGGGGGACGTTTGGGCAGAGACGCGTACACAGGGAGAAAGCCACGTGAACATGAAGACGGCCGTCCACAAGCCAAGGAGAGGGGCCTGGAGCAGACCCTCACTCATGGCCTCAGGAGGAACTGTCCCGGCGACACCCTGATCGAGGACTCTGGCCTCCAGAACCAGGAGACAGCCAACGTCCACTGCTGAAGCCCCCGCCCGGAGTACTTTGTACGGCAGCCCAAGCTGACACGACGCTCCCTGAACGATCCGCTGTCTGGCTGGGCGTGTTTCCTGAACTTTAAATAAACGGGACACAGTGCTTGTCCCGACACCCGAGGCCACGTCTGAGGTGGCCCGGGGTAGAGCATGGTGGAGGAGGGGGCCTCACTCCAGTCCCGCGGCTGAGGAGCCGCCCCGCCTCCCCGGACCCCTCTCCTCCGGGCCGTTCCCCTCCATCCTCACTGAAACCAACACCCCACCCTGCCGGGGTCCCGAGAGGAGCCACAAGAACCGGGGATAATCTGTGGGAAATGGAGCCCTCTCATCAGGGAGTCCTAGCACACATCCTCTGCTCATTCACCCATTCTTCCTGGTCTCTCAAGAAGTCTCTAGTGTTCTCCAGAAAGCTCTTTTCTTGTTAGTTACATTTATTCCAGGGTGTGCTACTTTCTTTGTTATTAGTCGTATCTTCTGGAAAATCATGTTTTCTGTTAAGGGCTCGCGCATGAGCAGTGGGATCTGGCCCCTGTGTATCGGGCTCATCTCCAGCAACTCTGCTCGACCCCCAGACCTCCACAGCCCCGTGTCCAGATCCATCTCCACATCGGGAATGGTGCCTGTACCCCGAGAGTGACGGTGCCCCCTTCCTTCTAACCTGGGCAGCCCCGTCTGTCTGGGCCCTGCTGTCTGTTCGGTGCCCCCGTCTGTCCGGCCCCCGTCTGTCCGGCCCCACTGTCTGTCCCTGTGGCGCTGAGCAGACAGTTCGTGACGCCCACCACGTGAGGGCGTGTGGGCTGAGAGGGGATGCACCAGCACATGGTTCACCCCAGCTCTCCGCTGTCCCCCTTGTGAGCCCCTGGGGGTCCCCTCAGGGACACACACCCCTCCAGCCGGGGGACACAGTCGCTCCCTAACCGGGACCCTCAGGACCAGTCTGTGGGCATGTTGGGGCGTGTGCCAGTGGGGGCACCATGGTCTGTGACCCGTGGGCAGTCACCTCAGATGCCACGTCATCTGTGACAACAGCCACGGGCATCCCGGTGACTGAACGCCTCTGTGACAGGCAGAGCCACGCTGGGCTCACACAGCCCAGGACACAGCTGCGGAGAGGGAAACTGAGGCCCCGGGCACAGGCCTTGGTGACCGCTGGCTGTGACTGGGGCCGGGGCACCACCACCGGGCGATCCGCAGTCCAGGCCCCGGCCACGCCCGGCCCCCAGAAAGGAAAACATCAAGTGGGGACTTTTAAAACGCTCGCAGACTAATACTCCCTGGCCAAAAGGGCCCCAGGCAGCGTGAAGAGCACGTTTCTGAGACACGACCCCCAGATCACCCTCCTCCTGCCCAAGGCTGGCCAGCCGGGTGGGGGCTGGCCCCACCACAGGCACGTCTACCGTCTGGCCGCAGACCACAGGCCATCCTCTTCCACGACTGAGCAGATAACAGCTCTGTTGTGGACAAAGGTTTGTGCTCCTCAAAATTCCTACGCTGAAGGCTACCCCCGTGTGATGGCGTTGGACGTGGGGCTGCGGGGGGCCCTCGGGGACGGGGTCAGCGCCCTCATAACAGGGACCCGAGAGCAGCTGCCTGCGTCCCCGACGTGTGGACCCAGCGAGCAGGCGGCCGTCTGCAGCCCAGGAGGGAGCCCTCACCGGGGCCGGGACCTGCCGCCACCCCGATCCCGGGCTCCAGCCTCCAGAACCACGAGGAATCAGCCTCTGCTGTTTCTTTGTTTTTTGGGTTTTTTTTGCTGAGGAAGATTAGCCCTGAGCTAACATCTGTGCCAATCTTCCTCTACGTTTTTTTTTCCGTATGTGAGCTGCCCCCACAGCGTGGCTGCTGACAGACGAGTGGTGTGGATCCACACTCAGGAACCAAACCTGGGCCGCCGAAGTACAGTGCTGAACTTAACCACTAGGTCACCAGCGCTGGCCCAAGTGCCGCCCGGTCTGTGGTATTTGGTTACAGCAGCCGAAATGGACTGAGGAAGCCTCTTCCGTTTCTGGGAGAAGAGGGACTTTTGACTGTGCCCACAGAATGTACGTTTTTATACAACGCCCACCCTGCCAAGGGAGCACGTGAACTGGGCTCTTCAAGAGCAGGGGCTGTGGCGCAGTGGACACTGGCTCCTTCCACCAGGCCTGGCCCCCTGCCCGGCCGTGACTGACCTTCAGAGCCGTCTGCTTCCCGGCCCTGTGGCGGCAGCTGGGGCTCCTCGTCCTCCTCCTCGGGGTCGACCTCATCCTTCCCACCACCACCGGCCTCCTCCAGGAGGGCCGCCCCGGCCGCCCCTTCCCCAGGTGACTTGGGGTCTTCCGACTTGGGCTTCTTGGGCTGGCTCCGCTTCCGGTGAGACCTGGAGAGGGAGAACCGTGAGACAGGGGAACAGCAGAGGAGAGAGCCCCCGAGACGAGCGTCCTAGGGCGGGGACAGCCGTGCCGGCCCTGAGTCGGGGACAGGGCCCTGAGGGGGCTGCTGGGGCAGGGGTGGAGGGAGGCCTGGGGGGGGCAGTGGGAATGGGGGGGGCGTCAAGCGGGTGCTGATGACAGCGGGAGATGGACGCCCCAGGGGGCGGGGACACGGGCGTGAGGGATGGAGCAGAGCTGGTGTGGACGCCTGGACGACAGGCAGGAAGGAGCACTCACGGCAGCCCCGGCCTCCTGGTCTGCTCTCTCTTCCTCTCTAGACTGGGTCTCCTCTCCTCCTCAGCCTTTCTCCAGTGTCTGCTTTCTTTCAGACTAATTTGTCTAGAACGTAAACGTCAGGGCGTTTTTCTCCAGGACTCCTGTCAACTCCCCGGACGCCTCCTCTAAGGGCCTGGGCCAGCTCCCCGTCCTTGCTGTATCCCTGTCCCCAGGGGCTGCGAGCCCGCGTGGCTCCCTCTCTGACCTGCACCCACGGCCCCTCCTCACCCCAAGCCCCACGCTGGCCCCCGGGTGTGGGATTCCACCGGAGGCTCAGCTACGGCTTCGTGGGAAAAACGAGGCAGAATCAGGGTTGAAAAGGAGGAAAGGAGAGCGACAAAGGCAGGTGGGCCTGCGGATCAGGGGCCAGGCGGCCCTGTGGGTTCTGGGAATGGAAGCCCGCGCCTTCCAGGAAGGGACAGAGCGGCTTTCAGACGGCAGGAGAGTGTGGCTGCCCAGGAGCCGGGGCAGAGGCGGGAGTGGGGAGGCTGGCCCGGGGTGGGTCACCAGTGCCCTCTGGGGAGGGGGTGACGCCCGCACGGCCGCAGGCTCCAGGCCCCATGACCAGGCCTCCACTGGCCGGTCTTCTGTCCCGGTTACGGGTGAACCAGCAGCTGAGCGAGCAGGGCCGGGAATGTCAGCGTCCCCGACAGGAGCTGGCTGTGACCTCCCTGCACCCGTGGGCTCCCCGAGTCCCTGCCCCAGTGGGGGGGGGACTCAGACACACTTGGGGGTCCCGTGGCAGCCACATGTCCAAGGACCAAGTGGTCCCAGGGAGACGCAGGGCATGTGACAGGGGCCGGGCGGGGCTCCCACCTGGGGGCTACAGCAGCACCACCCTCCCTGTGGACACGGGGACCTGACAAGCACCCACCCGCCCTGCTCCCCACGCTGGCTCCCGGGGGCCTCTCCTAGTCCCCCTCACACTAACCACTGCCAATCCTGCTGCTCGGCTGCCTGTCTCGAGGGGCCCTGGCTCGCTGTGGCTCCCTGTCCCCGAGCCCAGGGGATGCCCGCATGTGAGAAGCCCCCTGATGTCTGCATGAGCCACCCGATGACCCAGGGTGGAAGCGGGGAGCATTCCGGGGCGCGGGGAGTGTCACGGCAGACATGGCATCACACACAGCATGGCGTGCAGGGGGTCACGTGAGGGTGGGGGTGGGGGACGAGGACAGGCGGGCGAGGAGGGGTAGGGAGGCAGCCACAGATAGGGGGTGGGGCACGGGAGCTGGGAGACCCCTCGGGAACGCCCTCCACCAGCGGCTCCACGTGGGGTGAGTCTGGGAAACACCAGGTGCAGATGGGCAGGGAGCCCCAGACCCAGCACCAGGGCGCAGCCGGCGTTCGTCACCGCAGTCCCCCAGGAGTGGCTTCTCCCCGGGTCTGGGAATGTGGCAGGGCCAGGCGCCCACAAGCGAACCCCCACCCGGCCCCAGGGGCACCCAGTGGAAGGGCATCTTCCTGCTGCCCACTCACCTGGCCTCGGTGTCCCGCAGCCGCCCGCCCCTCAGCCCCTCTCACCTCCCCATCCCGACCCCGGAACCAGCCCTGGAGGCCACTCCTGACCCTGACCCGCCGGCCCCCAGGGCTGACCAGGGGCGCCCCCCCCCGGGGCCCCGTCTGCCTTCCTTGGCCCCAACATCATGGGGCTCAGAGCTGTGGGCCCCCAGACGCCACCGGGCCTCGCCAACGCAGAGACCCCCAGCACGAGGTGGAACCAGGTGAGCAGACGTGGGCAGACACAAGCCGAACATGAGCGTGCAGACAAGCATCCTCTTGGTGAAGACAGAAGCTGGGAGAACACGCTGGAAGGATCTGGGGCCAATTTGCCCAGAGCTGGGGGAGGGGCACCTGCCACGTGCGTCCGGACCACAGTCTGGCCACAGCGGCGTTCCCTGAACTGCTCCCCAGGCGACACCCTTCGTCTCTCGGCCGTTTCTTCTCGCAGTTACTTCCCCGGGTCTCCCCAGCACTGCTCTCTCTTCTTCTCGGTTCTGGCTTCCCCCGCCGAGCTGCCGGCACAGACACGCAGGGCGCCTTGGGTGCTCCCCGCTCCCACACCCGCTGGCTTCTCTCCCTGCGTCTGCCACCATCTGCGGTTGTGGTGACATTTCATGTTTGTATTTTTCTGACTGTAAATATCATTCATCCATGAGCAACAGAGCTGCCGGGACCGTATTCTTTGCTCGCTCTTCCTGGAGTTAGCAACTGGCCCCCTCTCTCAGATGCTTAGCTTTCCGGGTTATCTCCAAGCTCCTACCCCCGATGACACTCTGGGCCTTGGCCTCTCCTGGGCTAAATCCACTTTCCTTGAGCCCATGTCTTTCCTGGTGGAAGCCCTTGTTTAGCTGGAGCACATCCTCCAGTAGCTTTCTCAGAAAGGAAGAGAAATCTGGGACTCTGCATGTCTCTAAAGATCTCTACTCCCCTCGCACATTTAGTTGGTAATTTGGCTAGATCCATACTTCTGGGCTGAAAATTACTTCTCTTCTGACTTTTGAAGACCTGTTCCTTTATCTATTAGCTTGCAGCATTGTGATCAACAAGCCCGATGCCGTTCAGGTCCCTTGTTCTTTGTGTTGGCCTATTTGCTCGTTCCAGAAGCTTTGGGGATCTTCTCCAAGAAATGTCTCCACTGGAGGAGATTTCCTCAAGCTCTCTCCTGATCTACTGCTTTCGTCTTCTTTGCTCTATTTTAAATGTCTGAGAGCCTCCTCTTCCCTGAGGGCTTCTCTAAAGGAACAGGCTCTTCCTTCCCACGCACACAGTCCTCTCTGCTCTCTGAGGGGCACTGTGAGTCCTTCTGCTCATGGATCGTCTCCTTCCTCGTGGCGGATGCTGTCTTTCCTGCTGCGTTTCCTCGGAGTCTTAGGGACCCCCGGGTGGGCTGTGCGAGGGACTAAGATGCTTGCTGGTGACTGCACGTGCGTCGGAGAGGGTGGGACCCCGCTGCTCCACGGGGACCCCGATATCAGGATCTGTGGCTCTGCTCCGTTGGGCGGCTCCGTGACCCGGGAGAGGTCCGTCCCTACTCCCGCCTCAGGTTGGGGGGACGGGAGGCCAGCAGCCAGGCTTCCACCGCCCCAGCCTTCAGGGGACCCTTGTCCCGCCCAGAGCCGCTGGTCCACCGCACGGGCGCAGGGCCTCCGTCCTGCTGGGAGATGGGGGCGGGGGCTGAGCCCACCATTCCTCACACTCCTGCGTCCAGCCCGCGCGGCCCCGTCCCAGGAGGCGCCGCATCTCTGACCCCTCGGCCTTTCCGCCCCCTCTGCAGGCCCACGTCTCGAGTGTTCTCTGTGCTGTCAGGTCAGGTACCACCTGGCCGGCCCTCCCTTCCTTCTGAGTCTGCTGCCACCGTCCCTCTCCTGGTCCCTGTCACTCCTTTACCGTCATCTTGGTGACGATTCAGGCGAGGGTGGAGGTAAACGTGCCCTTCACCCGCCAGCCTTAACTGGACGCCTCTGTTAAGTTTACATGAACCAAACATTGGGACTGGTCCCAACACCCCCACTAATGTCTGCAATACGGACGCAGAGTCCTCGGGCCTCAGACAGCAGGAGGGGCCCCCAGCCCGGCCACCGCGGGGCCCAGAGCACTCGGCCCCCCCAGACCCCCAAGCAGGCCGTCCGCCCTCACAGGACCAGCTGTCGTCCAGCACTTCTGACCCACAGGGGATTCGGGGCCAAGGCCGCCGGTGCCAGCGCAGCTGCGGGGTCCAGGCGCGGGGTCGTGGGTCTTGGGCCTGGGCCTCCTCCCCACGCCCGGCCCCAGGACATCCTCCCTGCTCCAGAGACGAGCAGGCCTGTGGGTTTAAAGGGTTTCACCTGCGAGAAACTTCATAGCGTGTCCTGGGAGAAGCAATTTAGGAGACACTCAGTGAGTCCCAGGTGACAGGCTCTTCTGGGCTGCGGGGCTGGTGGCCCGGGGGTCACAGGGAGCTGGGTCTGTGGGCTCAGGAGCTTGGGGGGCCAGGGCGGCCTTGAGAGGAGCGAGGTCAGTGGCCCGGTGGTGCCCAGCCTGGTGCGGGGTGTCAGGCGCAGCGGGGGGGACAGGCCGTCCCGCGTGGGGTCAGGAGGCGTCAGAGGAGCGGAGTGGTTCCGTGTCCCCTCGTTTCCGCGGTGATCCAAGGTGGTGGGAGCCCCCCCGGGGCAGCTGGAGGTCCCGGCCGTGGGGCCAGCAGAGGCTGGGGTGGACGGGATCATGGGTCCGGGAAGGCCACGCGTGCCCTCTCCGTCTCCCTCTCCGCAGACCCGCGCAGGCGGTGGAAGGGCCCCGATGTTGTGCGGAGCGCACACCTGCGGGAACACGCGGTCGACACAAGCGTGACGCGGAGCTCTCGTGGGAAACAACAAGGAGACGGAGGAGAAAATGGCCTGCCGTGGGGAAGGGCTGTCTTGGAGGAAGAGCGGGTGGACGCCAGCAGGGGAGGGCGCCAGACTCCACCGGGGCCTGGGCCGCCGGGCAGGGAGCCCGCTGGTGGTGGCCGAAGGGGTCACAGGGCGAGGAGCAAGGTCACAGCTTTGTGCCCTTTGTCAGGGGCAGGGACCAGTCGCCCGACCAGATGTGGGTATGGAAGACGAATCCACGGAGGGCACCGTGAAGGGAGTGGGTCACATTCTCCCCGAGGGGCCAACACCTGGCCTGCACTGTGGGATGGCACCTGCAGCGCTATGTGGGGGCCGGGCCGGGCCGAGCGGGGAGCAGGGAGAAGCTGCGGCTCCCAGAGGAGGCGGCAAGGCTGCACGGGGACGGTGGGGCAGGGGGCAGCAGGTGGGCACAGGCACTTGGGCAGGGACACTGGGCCGTGTCTGGGGACATCTGTGGCTGTCACACTGGGGGGGGGCTCCTGGCATCGAGTGGGTGCTGCTCCACCCCCCAGTGTCCAGGACGCCCCCCACAGAAAGGATGACCCGGCCCGAGCGCCCACAGTGCCGACAGGAGACCCTGGTCTAGGGACAGAGGCAGAGTCGCCTGCACCCCCATCCAGCCCACGCCAAGGATGCTCCCGCAGGGCCACCCGACCCCAGAACAAACCCCCTGAGGCTCGGGGAGCCCCACGGAGACCAGCACCCGGGCGGGCAGGACACCACGGGGAGAGAGATGAGGTCCTTCCGAGAGTCTGTGACGCTCAGGTGAGGGGATGGGGCATCTGGCTTTCACACGTGATTCCCATCAGCCTTTTCAGAGAAGCCCCGCACCAGGACTTAGAAAAAGAGACTCAGCCTCGTTTTACATACTAAAGGCTTTAAAGGAAATTATATCCTTGGGAACACGACTTAATTTGTTATTCAGCCCACTGTCGGAACATTACGGCTCCCCAGGTCTGCGAGACAGGAATGCTCCAGAAAGGAACAGTGCATGACGCAGGGCGGCCGGGCGGGAGGGGGCTGGGGAGCCGCTTCCTCTGTGCTCAGAAGGTTCCGGCTACGGCTGGCCCACAGGTCCCTTGTCCTGGGGCTAGCTCTTCAGACGGTCTCTAATCCCCTTCTATTTCTGGAACGTGGCGCCTGTTTATTGGCAATCCACTCTGCTGACCAATTAGCCCAAGCCACAATCAATTAACCGTTATGCAAACACCAGCCCGCTCCTCGTTCTGGAAGGATCCGGAGCCGTTGCAGGTCGGCCAAGCCAGGATGCTGCTGCTACCGAGGGACACACAAACAGGAGGGCAGGAACCAAAGGAGAAATGACAAAAGAAACCAGAAAAGAGCGTCCCCTTCACGGGCTGTCAGGAACGGATATGGAAGCATCCGGGGCTGCCGGAACATTCTGAGAGGGGCTGTGGGTGCAGAAAACGTGCAGATGAGGCCGAGACTCCCCAAGATTCGCAGACTCACAGACTGGACGCACCGAAAACAAGAACAGACCAGTCGGGAGAGAAGGTTCTGGAGTGGGCATGATGGCTCGGCCAGGACGACTTTTCCCAGAGGCAGTTCCCAGGACGTCTGTGCAGCGTGGAGCGCCACCATCGAGGCACCGACGAAGGAGAGAACTGGCCGAGCCCCCTGCCCCCTCAGCGGCCAGGCTCCGGGGACAAGATCAGACCAGGGGCGACCGAGCGGCAGAAGGTGGAAAACCCTCCAGAGGCCCAGATCCGCCGCCACCTGCTTCGGCACAGCCCACAAGCTAAGAATGGTGTTTACGTTTTTAAATGGTTCAAACAGTTAAGAGAGTAATAATACTTTGTGGCATGTGAAAGCGATGTGAAATTCCAATTTCAGAGTCCATAAACAAAGTGTTATCAGGACACGCTGTGCTCTCTGGTCTATGGAACGTCTAGGTCGATGGCGGCTCTCATGGAGTTGAGTGGTCCTGAGAGACCGTGTGGCCCTCAACGCCGGAAGTGTTGACCCCCTGGCCCTCACAGGAATGCTGGCCGGGCCAGCCCTGGGCCGTCCCTCCTGCTCCTGCGCACACTGGGGGCCCAGCAAGGACTCGCGGAACGTTCCACAGGCACCAGACAGGAATCCGTTTGAACTCTACCCCTGAGCACTCAGACCGCGAGAGCCTGGACGTTTCCAGGGAGACGGCAAGAGAGCCCGCCACTTGCGGGGCTACGGGCACAGCGGCTCGCCGCCGTCTCACTCCCAGGGAGTCTCTCTCCTCCTCTGCCCGGACCTGCCACCCAGTCCCCACGGCCTCGCACCGGCGCAAGGGGGCGGCCGCCTCGCCCTCGCTCCCTCGCCGGACGCCAGGCTGGTGGCCAGGCAGTGACCAGGGGAGAGGAGGCCCCCGAGACGGGACGGGGTGACACAGGACGTCCCTGGGGGCAGGTGTCCACAGTCACCTCCCTGACCGCGCTCCAGCAGCAGGCTGTCAGAAGCGCAGAAGCGAGCGAGCACAGACGCGCACGGGCGGGGCGCCGCGGGGACCCCACACCCTGTGGCTCTGGCAGGGGACCTGCCATCGTTCGGAGCCACGAAGCAGCCCAGCGGCCTGACCCGCAGGAACAGGGCTCCCGCCCAGGACCCCAAGCAGGGACAGTGAGAGGGGCGGCACGTCATCCCAGAGGGGAAGCCAGCCCAGGAGGTGGCGGACGGGACGGGCCCGAGTCTCCGACGACACAGACACGGGGCCCGCGAGCAAGTCGGGGCCTGAGATACACGCTTTGTCTCAGGAGCAGGAGAAACGGAGGAGGGCGGGAGGGAGGGGCTGGCCTGGACACCCGTGGGGCCACTTGCGGTCACCTCCCCGGCCACTCACCTGCGGAGGAGCTTGGCCTTGAGGGAGGCACGGGAGGCACTCCAGCTGCTCAGCTCGGGGCTGCTGAGGGCCGTGGGCCGCGTGTGGTCCAGCACCGTGAGGTCCCTGCCCTGCTTCCACAGCTCGTAGCGCTCGGGCTGCAGGATGCGCACGAACACGTCCATGGAGATCTTCACCATGTCCTTCCGGCACGTGCACTGCGGGCACGAGACAGACCCGCTGAGCCCCCAGCCAGTGGCCGCCACGAGGGCGGGGCGGTTTCCACCCCTGCCTTTCTAGAACTTCCATCACCAGACAGGAAACCATCTTCTCGTCCCGGGTGAACGGGGAGGAGGCTGTGTCCCCCGGATGTCAGCCCGTCCACCCCCGTGGAGCCACAACCCCCAGCTGCACGCGGCCCAGGGGAACGGGACAGGCCCCCGGCTGAGGGGCTGGAGAGCCAGCAGGGTGCACCCACCGGCTCAGGAGCCCCGAGGCCACGCGGGTCTGAGCTTTGGCTGCCTCCCGGCAGACACCTGTGCCCCCACACAGGTGAAAATGCATACGGGGTGTTTACAGCAGCAGAAACGCCAAAGGTTAGGAAGAGGGGGAAAGCTGTCAGTCCCCGAAGAGCCAGGACAGCAAAAAAGGAAACAGCGTGTGGTGCCCGAGCGCACACCCCTGCGCCCTAGTCTCTGCCCCGCAGGGCTGGGGGCGGCCAGAACTCCAACTAGACGTGGTTCCCCCAGGACGGGAGCTGGCATGCGGTGTGCCGGGCAGCCTGGAGCAGAAGCTGCTCTGGGCAGGAGGGTCCCTCGTGTCTGGGAGCTTCCAGCAAGGGGCAGACGCGTGACAAGGACAGGCTGAAATGGGGTCCCTCTGGTGCCCCGAAGCCCCCAAGCCACATGTTCCTGGAGCCTCTCCCTCCGTGTCACAGTGCCGCGGTGGCCCCCGGGACCGGGCACCACGCAGGAGGCACCGCAGGAGTCCAGGGACACTTGACACTTTGGAGACGTGGGGGCCAGAGAAGCCAGCCAAGGATTCCAGAAGCTGGGCTCTGGACAGTGAGCCCTCGGTCAGCAGGAGGGACCCAGGCAGCCTGGTCTCCTACTTACCTGCGGGACGAAGCCAAGATCAGGCGGGAAAAGCACCCTACTGCGAGCGGGTGGGAGAAAGGGCAGGGCTGGCAAACGGTCCACGAAGGGCCAAGCAATAAATACTTTCAGTTTTGGGGGCCACACAGTCTCTGTCACAACCCCTCAACTCTGCCGCTATAGCTCAGAAGCATCAGAGGTGATACATAAACGAGTGGGCATGGCCGCGTACCAATAAAACTTTATTTACAAAAACAAGCGGAGGGCCGGATTCGGCACAGGCCGTGGTCTGCCAACTCCTGGTCCAGACTCCAGAGGATAAAACAGCCCCTGAAGTGGGCAGCCGTCTTCCGGAAGAGGAGTCTCTGCAGGGATGGCTGAGGCCGCGGGGAACCTCGGGGAGGGGGGTGCAGAGGATGAGGGGGCCTCAGGGGTGGTCTTGACCCAGCGGTGACGCACTCACCTCCCTCTAACGCGGGCACAACCCTGCCTCCTCATAGGGACACACGTACCCAGGGACATTTGTTTTAAACGCATGTCTCGCCCTCCTCTTACAACGATCCTGCCACCTTCTCAGTGAAATGAAGGAAACAGAATGGACAAGTCTGAATTGAACGTGGCAATTACGTCCCTTGCCCTGGCAAGCCCTTCCCAACTTCCCTCAATTTGCTCCAGAAACAGTGAAATGTTTATGACCCCAAATCTGAGGCTGCTGAGGGTGGGGGTGGGCGCACACGAGAAGCTGCGGAAAATGTCCTGGAAATTTCCTGCAGCCCCGGCGCCCCCGACCCGCCCCGCTCCCCTGGCTGGATCCGGCTCCCACTGGGGACAGCAGTAACCTAACCACGCCGAGCGGGAGGGAATATTTATGGCCAAGCGATTCCCAGCAAACTCAATTCATTTAATGAAAACTTGTGCAGGAGAGAAAGGCCGGTGGTGTAATCTGGCGGCGGCGAGGCGGGAGCACAGATGGTGCCCGTGTTTCAGATTCCTGGCCGGCCACGGCCTCCCCAGCGCCACCATCAACAGCAGCTGAAGGGATTTGTATCAAGTGCTTTGCAATTGCTTTTCTTTAAGTAATTACAAAAAGCACCTGTGTGCGCCCTGGAGGGGACACGGGGACGCACTCCTAGCCGCGCCCCCTCGTGCAGGGACAGACGCAACTGGCCAGGACAGAGACGCTGGGAACAGCCACACTCACTCTGGGCGCGGGTTCTGGCTGCGGTGGGGTTGTCATTGGTGGGGGGCCTGGGCACCCCAGCGGAAACAGCGGGAAGGAGGCAAGCCCCCGGGGGTCCCGGGGCAGGGGAGCGACAGCCTCCCGGATTTCGGACACAGAGACGCTCCCCTCCATGCTGAGCTCTGAGCTGGGGGCGCAGGCACGGCAGACCCATCGCCGCCTGTCACCCCACCGTCTGGGAGAGGAGGTTGCTAAGGCCGGCGGGAAGATCCTGCTTCTCTTTACAAGCAACCTCCCAGGGCTGATGGCGCCAAAACCCCCACAGCTCCCCCCCCCCCCCCCCCCCCCCCCCCCCCCCCCCCCCCCCCCCCCCCCCCCCCCCGAGTTCCTTGTGACTCAGGAACATCAGAGCAGCTGTTTCATGCGGCCCAAGAGCTAGCCGGGGCGCCTCCCCCTGCAGGGAACGTCCTGGAAGGGGGCTGGGAGCGGGAACCCTCGGGGCAGCCTCGAGCAGCGACCAGGGAGGGAGACGGGCCGAGAGCAAATCGTGCTCTTTGTTTTCATTAAGGAGGCCCCCCCATTGTGTCCTCCCCGTCCAGACCCCTCCAGCCCCGTCCGGCTCCCGGACCTCCCGGGACAGGCACTTCGTGCGGAGCCGCTGGAGGTAGTAAAGCCGACAGTTCCTGCCGCTCTCGTTCCAGCCCTCAACTTGGCCACAGAGACGGCTGTGCTCTCACAGGGAGCCGCCATGCCATTAGTTTCTGATGGAGAAATCGGCACGAGTGGGGGCGTCTCAGGGGCCCCCGCAGGCCTGAGCAGGCCCCAGGGCCCCCTGTGCCGTCCCCGTGACATAAAGCACTCAGCCTGCGGAACCGCGAGGGGCGGGGGCTCGCGCTGAGAGCCGGAGAGGACCGGGTAATGGGACACGGAGCGGCCTGGGCCCTGTCACGGCGGCCTAGGCGGGCGGCTGTGGTTCCATGAGAGCCGAGTGGGGCGTCTGGGGACAGAGGAGGAGGAACGGCAGGAGGCAGGGCCTGGGGGTGCGGGGCGTGGCCTCTGCGGCGTCTGCTCCCAGACAAGCTGCAGTATCTGTGGGTCCCCGCCCCATCCACCGAGGGGCGCCCCCACCCCACGACTCTGGGCCTGAGCCTGTGGCCACTGCCCGGCTCCCCGCTGACGCCGGCCTGTGAGCAGAGCGAAGATGCACGGTTCAGGGGGGCAGCATGGGCACCCCTCTCACCATCCCCCGACACTCGAGGGCAGAAACTGGCTCTTGATGGCGCCTGACGTCACAAGAGGCCCGACAGCCCCGCCAAGTGCGCGCAGAGAGCCCTCAACAGTGCAGAGGAGCCACCTGCGCCAACTCAGTTAATCAGCCGAATGAGTTCAGCGGCGCTCGCCCCAACACAGGAGGGACAAGTGCTGTGCAAAGTGACAGCAGAGGAGAAGCAACAGCTGGGCCCCACAGCACCCGCCGGGGGAGGGACAGGACGGGCTCGGCCACCATCGCCCCACGTGGCCCCCAGGCTGCACAGACAGCAGACGTGGGAGACGAAGGCGCAGCTCTGAGAGGCCCCGGACGAAACGCGGACGAGGTCCTTCCACACTCAGGCGAGCGCGTCCCTTCTCCCGCCTCCTAGGACCTCACAGGAGAGGCTCGAACACGCTGTTCAGCAAGCCCGACCATTCATGAGGGATTCGCGTGCCAGCGCTGGGCACCGCGGGTCAGCCTTGGTCCAGAGCACCGTCTACACGACAGAAGCGTCCCTGGGACGGATCTGTCATCTGAAGACATACAGAATGTACAGTCCAGAATACCGTAAAGCCCCAACGAAGAGCAAAAATCTTCACACACAGCCAAGGGCATCCATCAAACACCAGCCAGGGGCCTTTCGACTGCGGAGCAAACAATTTCTGTGCTATTTATTTTTCTAAATCTCTCTATTGAGCAGGTCTATCACTTAAGTTGGGAGTGGGCAATTTACGGAATGTGGGCCGAATACGGCCGCCGCCCGTCTGTAAATAAAGTTTTATTGGCACACGGCCCCGCCCACGTTGGTGCTGCCACAGCAGAGCTGAGTGGTCACACGGAGACCGTGGGGCCCACAAACCCCCAAATATTCACTCTCTGGTCCTTTACAGAGCCTTGATTTAAGTCATGAAATAATTTTTACGGGGTAACGAGGTCCAGTGACGTGGGGGATGAACTTGCCACTTGCCAGCTTCAGCGAACCTTGTGAGTGACCACAGGCGTGTGCTGTGGGCTGAACCGTGTCCCCCAAATTCCCGTGTTGAAGCCCTGACCCCCAGTGTGACTGTATCTGGAGACAGAGACGTTAGGACGTAATTATGGTTCAATGAGGCCATAAGGGGGGGGCCCCGATCCTACAGGACGGGTGTCCTCACAGGAAGAGGAAGAGACCCAGGCCTCTCCCTGCCCCCTGCCTCCAGACCGTGAGAAAGACACATCTGCTGTCACAGCCCCTGGCCTCTGGCACTTGTGCTGGCCGCCTGAGCTGACCCAGATGGGTGTCCAAGTGGAACCTCGCCACAGTCCATTTTCACTGGGGTGGTGGGCTGCACACTCCCCGCCACCTGCTTCCAGCATTCGACTCACCAGGTGCCAGGAGGCACCTAGAGCCTGGTGCTCGGAGGCCTGGCCTGGCCTCTCTGGCCCCGTCCTCCGCACCTGCAGCCCGAGCCGGCCACCCACAGCGGGGAACACACCCCCGGCCCGGGGGTCCTCAGGGGCCTGGGCCGGCTGCACTTCACCCACACTAGGCCCAGACTCACCTCAAAGGGGCCCGGGGCCCGCGGGGACCAGCCCCACGCCACCGGGGGGCATGAGCCCCCTCCTAGCTCAGGCCCCTCCTAACCGCAAGCCACGATTTCATACATTCTGCCTGGGACTGCCCTCTGTTTTAATGAACTCGGTTGTTCATAA